TATATATGATTGGGTTTAGTAGTAGCTGTTATTGAAAACTTGGTATTAGAAAGTGTGAATATATAATACAGTATCATGACTGAATGGTTATATAGTACTGAAAATTTAAATAATTTTTTGAGTTAATCCAGTTTCACTGAAATGTTTGGCACCATGTTGGATATAACATTTTATGCTGTTGACTAAATGAATTAGTTTTCATACAGATGCAGTTTGTTAGTCTGATGTGATGAAAAGGAAGTGAAACAAACAGATGACAAACTTTAACATTTCCTGTACACATTTCAATTATATCATCAAGAAAACAAATACAGCAGCACATCAACTAATTATTTATTCTTTGTTAAAGCCTAATATCCACCGATTTCTCGGTTTCTGTGCTCTGTTTTTTCAAAATATCATCATACAGTTAATCCACAGGCCTGTTAATCTCTGTCATGTATCATAACTATGTCGTGTCAGCTATCTGTCCTACAGTAGAAGTTAATCTACTTCTTCTCCAAAGGTCGATTCTGTTCATCTGGACGTAGCGTTTTCAGTAGGAGAAACGTTTCGTCACTCATTCAAGTGACTTCTTCCGTCTCATCAGGTTTCCCCAATCTTATACACAGTATATTTGCATAATGACTGAAACCATTTACATTTTTTGTGTCTGTGATCTTCCCTCCAGCTGGCCCCATGGTCAGACCCTCAGTCTCTCTGCTTCAACCCTCCTCTGAGAAGCTCTTTGGAGGCCCAGTCACACTGGCCTGCCTGCTGACCGGCTCAGAATAATCTTGATGTACATCACATTTCCACCGGATGCCTAGCTGCTTTCCTGCTGGGTGATTGTCATCAACTCATTTTTGCTCATCATTTCTCCAACCCTCTTCACCAAAGATAAGAACAAACTGACCATTAGTTCAGAGTAGATTAGTTAGATAAGTGTAGTTTAAGTTACTGTTTAATTGTTTAAGCGATTATTGTTTTGTGATCATTAATACATGATTTTGATTTTACTTTTCTCCTGCTAAATCGCCGTAATAAAATTTCCTGCACTTAAAGTTTAAGTTTATGACATTTGCTTTTTAACCTTTAATGAAACAGTAAAGATAAATGTCTGAGCTTTATTCTTTATTAGTGAAAATTGCTCTTGCAGGTTTCCCTAGCCTTATTAAAAAATCCTTCCTTGGAGCCTGCTGTCCAGGCTCCCAGAAACAAG